GACGGCTCTGTGACGCTGTCTATGAAGGCCTACCATGAGAATCTTCGTGAGGTTTTCGTGAGCAAGCCCCGGAAGAGCGACGTGGCTTCCCCCTTGACGGCCGTGGAGCACCGACAGCTGCGGGCCCTGCTAGGTTCGTTCCAATGGCTAGTGGCCCAGCTCCGCTTTGACTTGGCCTTCAGCGTTTCGTCTTTGCAAGGGGAGTCACCGCCTACGGTCGGGACCTTACTTCGTGCAAACCTGTTGGTCCGCGAGTTTCAGCGGAACTGCAACTTCGAGCTGGTGTTCCGCGGCGTGAATCCCTACAAGGGCGGGCTCATGGTGGTCACCGATGCCGCTCTTGGCAATGTGGACGTAGGTGGCTCGGCTCAGGAGGCCCCGCTGTCTAAGGTGTTTTCTCAAGCTTGTTACTTCGTGGTGCTCGCCGACGAGGCCTTGATGAACGGGCAGACGGGGAACTTCAACATCCTCGACATGCGCTCCCACAGGATTCCTCGGGTGTGCCGGTCTTCCTACGCTGCGGAGACCTTGGGTGCTGAAGAAGCCTTCGACGTGGGGCAGCTTTGCCGAGGCTTTGTGGCAAGCGTCCGGGGGCTCAGCCTCCACAAGACTCAGCTCGATGCCTCCATCAACTCGGTGCCCCTCTGCGTGGTTGTTGATGCCAAGGACGTCTATGACAAGTCCAACAGTGACTCCAACAGCTTCGGGAGCCAGAAGTCCTTGGCCTTCACAATAGCCTGGATGCGCAGTGTTCTGCGCAGACCCAACACGGGGTTGAGATGGACGAGCACCGAGAACATGTGGGCTGATGGCGGCACGAAGGAGATGGACTTGACTCACATGAGGGAGATCATGGCCTCTGGTCGATGGTCTGTGACCTACAGCCCCTCCTTTGTGAAGCAAGTTTCCAAAGGAAAACGCAAGAAGCCTGAGCCCTCACCGGCCGCCGAGCTGTTGGGGTCTCCTTTGGATCCTTCGGACCCGCTGCTCGGCCATCTTTTGAAGCTGGGCGAGCTGAAGGGGTGGCACAATTTGGAAAACATGGGCGTGAATGTGGCTTACGACGCCCGGAGCAAAAGATCCCCTGAACCGCGCTTTTCGCCAAGCCAGTTTCCTTTTAGGAGTTCGTTTTGCAGAGTGGAGCTGCCGACAGGGCAAGCTCAATGGCGGGTATTGGAACGCGACGTTCCGTACTCCGAACTACCGAACCAGCACGAGCTCCTCCCGTCAAGAGCACCGATCCTTGTGACTTTCTTCACAAGGGATCCTGTACAGTGCTAAGCATCGTTGCCGCGGCTTTCGACCAGTTCTAAGCAACAATAAAATATATGGGATGTAGAAACCCGCTTGTGGCATCGAT